AAAAAAAAAAAAAAAAAAAAAGGTCAGTATTATGTTTGTGGTTGTATTTGCAGAAGGGGAAACTGCAAAAGTTACCATTGATACGTGGAGTATATTCGAACCTACTGTTAAAATCCTCACTCAGGTTTTTTTTTTTTTTTTTTTTACGTTGGATCACATAAACGCACTCACACTCGCACCCACTTGGGTGCGTGTTGATTTGACGGCAAAAACCTAAACATTGCACTACTCTCACCGGTATGTACGAATTTTCCATTTTGGGAAGAACATACAAAAGACCAAGAGCAATTTTGAAATTACCAAGTACTTGTAATCTGTGCTGAAAACTTATTTTATATAGAGCATACAGTTTTCTAACAATCACAAGCACTTGAGTAAATAACCAAGGCTTGTGATCAGAAAATTCATATCCAAAGCTTTCTTCCATCAAAATATATAACAATGAGAGAAGCAACTATAGGGGGGTCAGCAGATCCGGGAAATATGGTCACACGAAACCGGCTCCTAGGTACGAAAATTTTCTCGATCCCTAGCTTGTGCATGAGGCTAGTCTGTATCCAAATGAAGGGAAACAGTCAAAATCAGAAATAACAAAGCAACAGACTAACACAAGCTCAAACAAACAAAGGAATTATAGGTATGCTTGAAGAAATTCCTTATATTTATACTGTTTATCTATAATATTTTTTAAACAAGGGGTAAATAGGGGTCACAATCTAATGAGGATATTTGAATCCACTTCGTTAAAAGGATGCCAAAGTAGGGGTCGATGCTCAAAGCAACATTCAGCTAAATAAACAATATCCAGAATTTAAGTTAACACTTCCAAATCAACTACTTCAACAAGATCAAAAAGTGATTTACTAGATACCGAAGCATAAAATGTTCCCACTATTTCACATGTATAGATGTATAGGACACCACTTGAAGAAAGAGAGAGAATTCCAACAAATTCACATCTTGTTTGACTAGAAGAAATGGGTATTAACTTAAGAGATGACGTAAAGTTGTGCTTACCTCAGCTACAATTGAATCGTCTTTATAAATGGTACATGCTCTCTTGAAAGGGCTCCCTTTCATGTGTAACTCGGTCTTTGGGTCATTGTTATATTCACCAGCAAGTAATATTTTAAACTCAGTTCTTGTGTACTTATCTACGGTCTTGTTCACATGGAAAATCAAATCCTTGTCCTCGCAGTTTCCCCTAAACGCCTGCCATGATCTTTTCTAATGGGAAGAAGAAAGATCATGTTCACGTATTTTTAAGAAAATGTATATAAAACATGGAACTCGTTATTTTTTTATACTCCAACAAGATGCAATTGTTTCTCGTCAAACTAAGTTCATATTCAGATTTCACATAACAGAACACCGTGGAAGTTTACCTAAGATGCACCTTAGAAATGATACAAAGCATAGTTTTAGAGTCGACTGGTCAAACAATTGACAACCTTACGGTGGAAAATCGACATGTTCAGTCTGGAAGCATATTCATTCATAATCATATAGCTGGATATTCATGTGCAAGCTGTGCAAGCAATTTTTGTTCATATTGTAAAAATTTCTCCAGAATCGTTTTACCCCTGACATTAGATTGGAGCAAGGAACAAAATCGTACGCTAACATGATGTTCATAACAGAATGACCCTAGTACAATTACCTCGTAACAAAATACACGCTAAAAATCGACAATTTTCCACCATTTCAAATTCAAGAATCATTCTTTTCAATGCCAAGAGTTAGCGCAGTAATGACTGAACAACTGCCATAACAATGCCTACCACAGATAACCAGCATCTCACTCCATCAACATCAAACCAACCACCATTTCAAATTCAAGAATCGTTCTTTTCAATGCCAAGAGTTGGCGCAGTAATGACTGAACAACAGCCATAACAATGCCCACCACAGAAAACCAGCATCTCACTCAATCAACATCAAACCAACGTTTTCTTTTAACCATCCTTAAAACCAACCATGAAACCTTCTTCCAGGACAATGTTCAAGAACCCATTAATAAAAAAACCATCAAGTACCAAAGTGAAATCACAGTAAACAACCTAGAGAGACTACGACTTACGCTAACTCGGTTGATTGAAAAGAGGGTATTGCCAGATGAATCCAAGAGTAACTTCACGCACCGGGCATCGCCGCTACCCGCTGAGTTTCGGGTCAATTTCTGAACAGAGTATACCAAAGTACCCACTGAGTCAGTAAATCTGAGATTACCCAGCTGCCCGAGTCCCTTATATTTCTTGGACACAAAAAGGTCGAACGGGATTGGACAATTGGCTGGGTATGGGGTTTCGTCGGAGCTGATTGAGGAGTTTTCCGCCATTAAATCATCGGCGAAGATGATTGCGATGGCCGGTAAACGGGAAAAAAAAAGGGGCTGTTAGCAAAAAAGTTCCTTCTAAACACGGAGAATAATGAAATTTAACTGGGAAAGACGAATATATAATCCAACATTCAGCTGTGTTCTTTTGGCACATGGTACTTGGTACCTCGCTTATTTTAAAAGCACAATTTTTTTATTGGCAAATTTATTTGTATAAGTCAAACGGTCGAATTTTAGGAAAATACTATAGTTCCATTACGGAATCATTGGGTTTGTAACCGTTAGATCATCAACCGTCATGGATAGTTGATCTAACGGTTGTAAACCCCCGACGGAATGGTTCCGTAACGGGACCGTAGAATCTCTCCAAATTTTAAAATAAATAAATAATTATGTGATGAAATTACAATATTACATACTTTTATTATGTTGTTATTCACACTGCTTTCAAAATCAAAACCAATTGAATGGATCGAGAATCGGTCTGTTGACTGGTCCAGTTCGCAAGAATAAATTGATTGCCAGCGAACCGGTCAATAATTGGTTGAATGTTCTTTTAAAAAATAGTAATAATATATTAAAAATACATATTTAAATATGATGAATATGTATATCTACATATGTATCAATTTAAGTATTTAAATATTTTCAAGGACTTTGGGTTGAGCACGCGGTGGTTCAACCCATTGTGTCTGAGTACGCGGAGGTTCAACCCTTTAGGGTTGAGATTCAGCTTCCTAGCTAGACGGCGATGACAGTATTTGAGCTTTTGGTGGTGTATTTCGTCAAAAATTGATCCAAAACAAAAGATGGAGTCCTCCTAGCGTCAATCTCTTGTTATGCAAATTATAGAACAACGTGATTAGGAAAATCGTCTAAATTTAATCGTTAATGAAACAAGCTAAACAAGTTCAAATATATGAATATGTATAGCTACGAGTATCATGAACAGTTAATAGTATTTTGATTGTTAGAATTTATGAATCTCTCCCTTTCTATCTCATTAACGTGGAATATATAGACTATAAAATTCACGGGTATAATTTTTTAGGATCGCATGCTACTTGCATGCATTTATTTAATGCGATTTGATAGCAAGGTGTAGAACCGTGGGGCGGGTTCCACGCTAGGCAGTCGCTTTTCCATAGGGTAGTCGACACATGTCTTTTCGACAGTTAATGTTATGTCATAGTCCGACCATTCGTAAGAATCCGCTCGGATTTTCTCCCTGGTGATGTCCGAGTACTTTTGTATGGTGTCGAGTGTCGTATCTAGCCTTCAAGCTGCAGTTTTCATAGTCCGACCTCCAAATTAAATTATCGTCGTCCGAGTTGTCAAATGAAATGATAAAAATCCGGTACACTAATATCACATATCATTACTAGTTTATAATTTTCAATAATAATAATACATATGCGAGCATTAAAAATTTTAAACAATATGTATTAGTGAGTTTAAATTAAATTTTACATATGTACATTATATTTATGATAAATACTAAATCAACACAACATATATATAAAAACAAATAATAGCAGCTATATTATTGAAAAATATGAGTGAGAAGGATGGTTTATGATAAAGAATATAACATTAAAATTTTTTTAAGCTTTCAATTTATATTTTTGTATGTTTGTGTCCTAAGGATCCGATTATGAAAAAATGTATATAGTTATATTTTTTTATTAACCAATTACGATACACTACAAGACAAATAACATTATTAAATATTAAAAAAACATATAAATATATGATTAAATAAAAGCAATATATAAAATTGTATAGAATTTGTTTTTAAGATTTTTTAAACCTAAATATTGCGTTTACACAAAAAATTGCAACTTTTTTTTTTTTTTTTTGGTTTTAAGTTTTAATAAGTCGTGAAAGAAAATATACGAAAGATATATCTAATTGTTTCATGTTTGAAACAAAGGAAAAGCCTCTATAAAACATTTTTCATTATTTCATTCCTTTATTAACAAATTTTCCATTATTTCATTCCTTTATTAACAAGTTTCTGTTACCTCACTTATTCCTAACTCATTCGGCTTAGGATTTGTGTCCCCACTCCAAATTTTCCCTACAAATACAAAACAAAAAAAGCAAAAATAAACAATGTTTTTCATCCTCGCTCGTTAATTACTTCCCCCACATTAATTTCCGAACACACCTTCCTCAGCCGCTGCCGCCGCCGATCCTAGAAAAAAAAATAAATAAATAAAATGGCCGTTCAGTGGCTGAGCCTGGTGGCTGCCATCTGGCTCCAGTCCATCAACGGCACAAACTCCAACTTCCCGGCCTACTCCTCTCATCTCAAGCGCTCCCTCCGACTCTCCCAGCTCCGCCTCAACAACCTCGCCTCCGCCTCCGATGCCGGCAAGCTCTTCGGCTGGCTCTCCGGCGTCGCCGCCTCCCACCTCCCCCTCCCCGCAGTCCTCCTCCTCG